ATTTTGTACTGCAGCTGAAGGCCTCTAAGCAAGGCTTTGATCTTGAACTTCCCTTCTGATTCTCGCATTCTGATTCTACTCTACTGAAAGTCAATTGATATCTTTTGCCAGCAACAGTTGTCTTAAAAGCAGGACCACCAAGAAATATAATTCCACAATGTTGTGACTTGGATCAAATGGCATCAGATAGCAGACACACTCTGGCAGTGCGCTGTGCCAATATCTACATCTATTAAGTTTGTTTACTAACTGGTCTTATTATCTATTTCATGTTGGGATTTCTTTAGGGTGTGGTAGAATTGGACAGATGGGTTGAAAGTCTTCCTTCAGGCATATCACAAACAAGCCTAGGCAGATGGGTTCCGATAATCAACCTTTTGGCCTGAAACACATGGACAAGGCAGGGAGACAAAGAGTATGCCATGGTATAGAGATATAGGTAAAAACTCAGGTTGGAATGGACACATTTAAAAGTGACTGGAAATGTTGAAGTCAAAGAGAAAAAAATGGCACAAAGTTATTTCCCTTCCAAGGGAATATATTTTTAGGTAAAACAATTTTATTGTAAAAATGGGTGGAGGGATGGGTGTTTAATCATTGTACAATTGAAACCCAAGCACAAAAATTTGTAAATCTACAACTATACCTCATGGGGTTTCATTAACAAAAATTTTAAAAAAATGTAAATGACGAAGAATGGGCACTGGCGGGGGGATGGGTACTGGATTATTGTATAACTGAAACCCAAGCACAAAAATTTGTAAGTCTACAACTGTACCTCATGGTGTTTCACTAATAAAAATTTTAAAAAAAAATAATGAGTAACCACAGGAACCTAAAAATACTTACCTAAGAATGAAAAATTTTAGCACTGGAATATGTCAACCTAAATAAGTTTCTGATAACAAGGATATGCTCAGTTTTTTCCTCTTTTTTTTTGAGGTGAAGGTTTGGTTTTAGGACATACCTGGATGTATTCAGGATTTAACCTCACAAAACACCCTTCCTTCCTTGGTGGTGTTTTGGGAGTCAGATGTGGTGCCAGGGATTAAACCATTTTTTCACATTCATTTTTAATTTTTTTAACTTTAATGAACTATTGTGAGATACAGTTACAGACTTACAGATTTTTGTGATTACATTTCAATCAAACAATGTTCAAATACTCATCCCTCTACCAGTGCCCATTCTCTACCACCAATGTTCCCAGTGTCCTTCCTGCCATCCCCACTCCTTCCCAACCCCTGCCTCTGTGCAAGATACATTCCCTCTTACTCTCTCTCTCCTTGTGGGTGTTATGGTTTGCAACATAGGCACTAAACAGCCATCATGTCTGGTCTTATAACCAACTTTCAGCACGCATCTACCATCCCAAGTGATCCCTCCAACCATCATTCGCTTAGTGGTCTCTTCTCCACCCCACCCTAAACAGCAAGTAATTACCAAATTGGATATGATACCAACTCAATAAAATGAGAGTCTGTGTTGTTAACTACTATATCCATTTAACTCTGTGTGAAATTAGTTGGGGTCTAGAAATAGTAATTTTCTCCCTTTTTAATCTCCGAGGAATTAGATAGATCATAGGTGTACTGAAAGATAATGTCAGGAAATGTGAGGGTTCTCACAAAAATAGAGGAAGTGAAAATTTATATAGTCTTTTTGAGGCAGCAACTTAGTATAGGGGTTACGGAACATGCCTTGCACGTGTTCCACTTGGCTTCTATCCCCCGCTGGTGTGAGCCTGGAGGTCCATGGTGGTTCTTGGTACCACAGAACTGAGCAACACCACACCACAGCATTCACGATCACAATCACGACCATCCTGTTGTCGTCGATTGCCTCGAGCAGGCCCCAGTAACGTCTCCTTCGTCCTAGCCCTGAGATTTTTTAGAGAGTGCCATATTCAAGGCTTCTTCAGAGTTAGGAGAATGAGACCCATCGTTGTTACTGGTATTTGGCATATTGGGTACGCCACGGGGAGTTTGCCAGACTCTGCCCTGTGGGCAGGTGACATTCGGTAGCCTGCCAGGTTGTCCAAAGTAAGAATGAGATAATAAGATGTTGTACTACGTGAATCTTCCGGGAGCTGGGTTTTATAGTCTCTGGGTCTTGGCCGTTGAGGGGATTACACGGCGCCAGGGGGCCAGGTGGTGTGTGTGACCCCCGCCTACTGGAATTTGTAGGATCTGGGTGGAGGATGCTCAGCCCCAATCCGAGCAGGATTGGAGAGCTCAGCCCCGGGACCCGCATGCCTTTGTTCCTCTGCCGGTACCTTCATGCGTGTGGAGAGTGGTCTCAGCATGGTGGTGGCTGGTTCTGGAGGTCTTCGACTGCCGGAGCCCTGGTCGGGGCGGGGAGGGAAACTCAACCCGCTCCCCTCCAAGGGGCCCCGGTGAGGACAGCCAGGCGCGGGGGCAGGAGACTCTTACAATTAATTGATCACAGCCAGTTACCACAGCTTTGGCCCCTGGAATTTATTGTCCTGTCTAGTTGCCTGAGAAATACTGGGGAAAACTCCTGAGTTTCCTGAGTACTGTGTAGGTACCCATATACCTCCAAAATTGCAAAATCAAATCTTTCTGGGAAAGAATTTCCTAATATATACCAAGCAGTTTGAAGTCCAACTTTATTCATAAGCCCATTAATACTGCATATAAAGGGCAATTCTTTTTTTCTTTTTTTTTTTTTTTCGCTTTTTGGGTCAAACCTGGTGATGCACAGGGGTTACTCCTGGCTCTGCACTCAGGAGTTACTCCTGGCAGAGCTCAGGGGACCATATGGGATTCTGGGAATCAAACCTCAAGTCGTCTACCTACAAGGTAAACCCCCTACCTGCTGTGCTATCTCTCCAGCCCCTAAAGGCCAATTCTTAAGAAAAGAATCTGGAAAAAAAGGAATAACATAAACAACAATTTAATTGCTGAAGTCTTAACAGAGATTAAGAAATAAGTACAATTAATGTATACTAATCTGAATGTTCAACAATCAAATACAGTCAACTAATTATACACTATTATTATAATAATGAAGATTTAAAAAACTATGGCTTAATTCTTTTGAATATGTTATGTACTGCACAGCCTGAAAAGACCAGGCAGAAAAATGCATTGAAAAGATTTCAAAGAAAAAGAGAGTCTGACCTTGGCCCTACTTTTTTTTATCTTATTTGATAGAAATCTGGGAAAGATAGTCCTTTGAAAGGAAGAAAATACTTCCAATAGAATTTTTGTAAGGAGGAGTAGAATATCACAAAAAGTTTGAATTGTTCTGTCACTGGAAGTACCAAGATGTTTGACCTTAATTTTTAAAGAATATTTAGATAGTCATCTAATATCAGATAGCTAGGTCTAGAATTTTCTTAATTATGAATCTTACCAAAAAATATTTGGTTAGTTAGTTATTTTCAATTTAATTTTTTACAAAGTTGTTCATGATTGAGCTTCAGTCATCCAATATTCCAACACCCACCCTTTACCCATGTACATTTCCTACCGCCAATGTTCCCATATGTCTTATGATCAGAGAGTTATTTCTTTCAGATTAAACATTATTTTGAGTAATCCTCTTTTAATCATCTTTTGGGAGGCAAATTAGGGCACCACATTAAGTATAATCGTAGATTTTTCTGGAGGAGGGCACATAATACTTCATCCCTGGATTCGTATTCTTACAATAGTTTCAAGTGTTTAGTCTACCAATGGCAACTTATCTTGGCGGAAGGAAATCATTGTACCAGATCTCTCACTTCAGATTCACTCCATCCTGACAGTCCCTGGTCTTGGTAATAGATCTCACTTAGTAGAATCATCTTATCTCCTAGCCTCCATTGAGTCTATATCTCCTTCACTAGTTGCCCAGAGAGCCAGGTAATAGCAAAGACAAGGTCATGGGTTTGGGGCAGACCCAGTGAATTGCTTGTCCTTTCCCTAATAAGGGTTTGAAAGTCCACTCACAGTGTTCCACATAACCAAGGCCAAGCTTCCTTGAGAAGCTCGGACCACTTGGTGTTCATTCTTCATCTTTCTCCAGCCATTTTCTGACCCTTCACTCTCATTTCTCTGCCATTGTATAACACAGAAAAGATTGAACACAGAAGTTCCAGAAAAGATTGAACACAGAAGTTCAGTTCTTCAGATCTTTTTGCCCAAAGAACTGCATTAATATGGTGATTGATATTTTGATCTGAAAGATTGAGTCACAGGTAAATTCTAGCATAAGAAACTGAATGGCTAATTCAACTTGGCATAGAAGAGGAACAGAGATCTGACATGAGCAACACTGGGCTTGGGATCAGAAATATGACTGGTGGGGCTGGAGCAATAGCACAGCAGGTAGGGCGTTTGCCTTGCATGCGGCCAACCCAGGTTCGATTTCCAGCATCCCATATAGTCCCCTGAGTACCACCAGGGGTAATTCCTGAGTGCAGAACCAGGAGGAACCCCTGTGCTTCTCCAGGTGTGACCCAAAAAGAAAAAAAAAGATAAAAGGAAAAAAAAAACACTTGCTGTAGCACTGTAGCACTGTACTCCCATTGTTCATAGATAAACTCAAGGAGGCACCAGTAATGTCTCCATTGTGTGACTTGTTGTTACTGTTTTTTGGCATATTGAATATGCCATGGAGAGCTTGCCAGGCTATGCCGTGCGGGCAGGATACTCTCGGTAGCTTGCCAGGATCTCGGAGAGGGACAGAGGAATCGAACCCTGGTCAGCCTCATGCAAGGCAAATGCCCTACCCACTGCGCTATCAGCATACCATATGGTTCCCCAAGCACTAACAAGAATAATTACTGAATGCAGAGCCAGGAGTAACCCCTATGCACCCAGGAAGCCCATCCCAGGACAGCCCCTGTAATTCAGCACCACAGCCGCTCTGAGCTCCCAGCTCCAGCTAAGACTGGCCAAACCATATGCTAGCTGATAAAATTGTCTCTTCAAACCTTTCTCATAGAGCTAAGTTCTCCATTAAGCTCCCAACCCTCGTATGCTTTTACTCACCTACTTTCAGCTCCCCACCTGCTATGACCAAGCAGGCCACGCTCAGCGTGTTGCTTCTGTCCACAGGGAATTCCAAGGTCCCCATCACGTAGAGGCCTCTGAGGAAGGGAAGCTCTGTGTTCACAAGGACGGTCCTGTCTGCAGAAGAAAATGAAATTGCTGAAGCACGTAAGCAAGGAAGAATCGCCTTCTCTCTTCTGGTGATTGACTCTGGGACTTACTCAGCAATTTACTAACTATGCCAGGCAAGTACCACTAGGGAAATATTAGTTTGACAAAGACTAGACCTAATGGAGGAAAAAGAAGAATGGTTCACCAATCTTGCCATTGTAGACACACCAAGCGCAAGGGCTAAAAGGCAGGTTTTCTTTTCCAACACAGAAGGTCTAATCCTAATTCAGTGCCAACAAGTCGATGAGTTTTATGTCCTTCATCCAGGTCTCTTCACTATGGCTGTAGTGGCAGAGAGGTAGAAAATCTTTGACGCAATACAACCTTGGCCTCTGAAGTCAGACCGTTTTATAGTGAACCCCAGCCATGACTGAGCAACATTGCAATGTCTTTACTTGGCATTTCATGTGCAAAGACTGGGTAATAATAATAATAAAAAGTATTTGTTTCATACTAGGATTTAGGGCTGGAGCAATAGCACAGCAGTAGGGTGTTTACCTTGCACATGGCCAGCCCAGCTGAGCCGGGTTCGATTCCTCTGCCCCTCTCGGAGAGTCCGGCAAGCTACCGAGAGTATTTTGCCCGCACGGCAAAGCCTGGCAAGCTACCCGTGATGTATTCAATATGCCAAACACAGTAACGAGTCTCACAATGGAGACGTTACTGGGCCCACTTGAGCAAATCAATGAACAACGGGAGGGCAGTGCTACAGACAGTGCTAGGATTTAAGTGAGAGTTAAATGAGTTAATGGGTTTCAAGTGCTCTTACAATATGGATAAGCCACTTCAATTTCCATGGAAAGCTAAGTGGTAGGTACATGCTGTATAAATAATGGATATTTTCATCATTTCTTCCTGTTGCCCGTTTGCTTGTTCTATTTGCAATGTAAAATATGTATTTTAAAACCATGAAAACTGAAAACCACCATCTTTTCAGGTCCCTCTATCACAGTAGTTTCTGTACAGGAGAATCATAGTTTTTTATCTGAAAGTAACAATAGCATGATACATTAACAATATTACTTAAAGAAGCAAATATTATATATGGCACTGGCACTTTGGCACTGTTCTCCCGTTGTTCATCAATTTGCTCGAGCAGACACCAGTAACATCTCACAACAAATTGTGAGACTTGTTACTGTTTTTGGCATATCGAATACGTCATGGGTAGCTTTCCAGGCTTTGTCGTGTGGGCAAGATACACTTGGTAGCTTGCTGGGCTCTCCAAGAGGGGCCGAGGAATTGAACCTGGTTCGGCTGTGTGCAAGGCAAACGCCTTACCCGCTGTGCTTTGACTCCAGCCCAATATTATACATTTGCCAAAATAATAAAGCATTGCTTTCTGAAACTTAGTAGTAATTCAGCACAAATTCACGATACCAAATAAATGTCTGCTTAAATTCCAAGGATCATAATCACTGACACATGGAATGGTTTTCAAGAATTTTGCTTACATAATTCCAAAAGCTGGAGCGATAGCACAGCTGGTAGGGCGTTCGCCTTACAAGCGGCCAACTATGGCCACCCCGAGTTCGATTCCTCCGCCCCTCTTGGAGAGCCCGGCAAGCTACCGAGAGTATTCGATATGCCAGACACAGTAACAACAAGGTCTCCAATGGAGACGTTACTGGGCCCGCTCGAGCAAATCGACGATCAACGGGAGGGCCTTTACTTTACTTTACTTTACTAATTCCAAATACACAATTCACTAGCTATTCTTTCTTTTTTTCTTTTCTTTTTGGGTCACACCCGGTGATGCACAGGAGTTTCTCCTGGTTCATGCACTCAGGAATTACTCCTGGCAGTGCTCGGGGGACCATATGGGATGCTGGGAATCGAACCTAGGTCAGCAGCCTGTAAGGCAAACGCCTTACCCGCTGTGCTATTGTTCCAGCCCCTCACTAGCTATTCTTAAAGACTGCTCCTCCCAACCCCCACTCACAAAGCAACTTCTCCAACTTATCTTTTCTAGTTTCTACCTATTTCCCTAATTATAAGACTTGCATTTCTCCCTTGGATAGACTTGCAAACCAACCACTTCTCTTCTCTTTCCCACCCCAACCCTTCATAGCAGGACTCTTCCAAGCTGTGGCAAATTGAAATGACCAAATGAGCTTGATCCATAAATTCTCACATATATATTTTATCTTTTCTCTCTTCTCAGTTGGACAGGCTCTCACTGGCTCTCCAAATATGGTCATGATCCAGTTAGCATTTGCACCCAACAGAATTTACTTCCTATACTGGAAACAACCGTTCCAAATATTTCCATGGACTCTACCACATTAAAGAGAAACACTCTCCTAGAACATACTGCACATACATACATCAGAAAACTAAAATAATTGTTGAAATTATGAACATAATTATGTAAGGAGGTAAATATCACTGTGCTGGTCCATAGTTGTAATTGGTCCAATAGCACAGTGGGTAGGGTGTTTACCTGGCACACAGCTGACCCGGGTTCGATTCCTCCATCCCTCTTGGAGAGCCCAGCAAGCTACTGAGAGTATCCTGCCCACATGGCAAAGCCTGGAAGCTTCCTGTGGCGTACTCGATATGCCAAAAACAGTAACAAGTCTCACAATGGAGACATTACTGGTGTCCACTCAAGCAAATCGATGAACAACAGGAGGACAGTGCTATAGTGACAGTGCTTCACTACTAGATCAAGGGATAATTCAATTTTAAAATCCCAAGGGCTTACTGTGATTTTGAAAACAAAGATACCATACCAAAATTGTCCAGGTCTGTTGAATTTAGCCACCCATATACCTTAAATTTAATTTAATTAAGATTGATACAAAATGAATGGTTTCATTAAATTTATGAAAATATTCCAATTTTATCCCTAGCACTTTTAAAACATTCAAGCAGAGGAGAGAAATACCTTGGTTTAAAATATATTTTGTAGGTTCATATCTTTAATATACCTTCAAAAGCAATATAGAGGGACCAGAGTTATAATACAGTGAGTAGGAGGCTTGCATTGCATGTGACTGACACAAATTCCATCCCTGGAACCCCATATTTGTCCTCTGAGCACTTCCAGGAGTGATCCCTGAGTGTTCAGCCAGGAGTAGACTCAGAGCACTGTGGGTGTCATCCAAAAGCAAAATAAGTAAATAAGTAAATAAATAAATAAATAAAGGCAATATAGAAATTAATTCAACCAAGCACTTAAAACAAAAGAGTTCTACTGTTTCACATAACTGAGCTTACCATGATGGGGATGGATGTCTGTCAGTGGGGGAGCACCCTAGTGGAGGGTGTAGTATTGGCACATTGTATGCATAAAATCCTATCACTAATAGTACTGGAAATCATGGTGTGTGTCTGGAGCTGAAGCGACAGTAAACCAGACAGGGCATTTGCAGCCAACCCTGGTTCAATCTCTGGCACCCCACATGGTTTCCCAAGCACTGCCAGGAGTGAACACTGAGTGCAGAGTCAGAAGTATGCCCTAAGCACAGACGGGTAAGGCCCTAAATTTAAAAAAAAAATCACAGTGTCTAAAATAAAAATATAAGTAAAAAAAGGCTTTAGGGTTAGACGGAACAGGGACGAAGGCAGTTGCCTTGCAGGAAAACAATCTTGGTATAATCACAGGCACCAATGTTTCTCTGAGCACCATTAGGGATGACCTCCAAATAACAAAGTTGGGAACAGATTCTGGCAACCACTCGGTGTGTTCCACAGCCACCCCTTCGAAAACAGAGAGAAGTTTGCTATAAATGACCTTTATCAATCTATCTAGACTTCGACTCATTCCACACCTTACACAATTGTTTAACTGCTGGATTTACAGGTTAAATATGATAACATTGCATTGATATCTTTTCTCTCATACAAAGAATACTCACAAACATATGCACAAAATGTGAAGCAGAATCTCTTTTACGCATACTTCTCAGTTAAAATGTGACGATCACACAGATTTTAAAATGTCACTTTGGTCTTTATTATATATACTATAAGATTTTTTTTGATAAATTTACCAGCTCACTCTAACTATATCAGTACATTTTCTAGGCTATTTTCAAATAATGGGTATTCAAATAATGCATAGACTACTATTATCTCCAAAATATTGTGAGTCATAGATTTAATTCTAATTTTTATTTACTCAGCACTCTGAGTCCTATTGAGGCTCAGAAATAACACCAATGTATACTCACATATTCACACATGTATGCCTACATGTGAACACACACATACATACACACATCTACTACATGAAAAATCCAATAGCAATAAGAGAAAAATATAGAGAATTTTTATTTACAAAAATAAATATAATTTATTTATATTATATTTATAAATATAATATAAGTTATATTTTATATATTTTTGTAATATTAAAATATTGGAATGTTCTTCTTGGGATGGAGAGAGATTACAGAAAGTACTTGCACACGACTGGCCTGAGTTTGATCCCATCACTCTAAATGCCTCCCACGAGTGATGTCTGAGTGCAGAGCCAGGAATAAGTCCTGAGCACTGCCAAGTGTCCTCCTCCCCACCAAATATTTTTTGAAAGTTCTTATTCTAGTGCCATCTTTTCCTTTTAAATATCCCGAATCCATCTATGCACCTTCTCTTATGCCTTCCTTTCTTTCCCTGTGATATTTCAAATTTTGTTGGGAGGTGGGTATTCAAAGATGAGAAGGACATGGTTTCTATGACATGATAAAGATAAATAAGTACAAACAAATACAATGCAATGTACTTGAAATGCTAATATACTCTTTTATTTGTATGGAGGTTGAACTTATCTTCATTCACATATACTTCAAAATGGAAAATTTCTTAGTGTGTTTATTATAACAAATTTCTGCTAAAATGAAAGGGCTTATCAAACAATTTTCCTTGCATTGCCACAGTAAAGATTACAGTTCTTGCTGAAACTGAGACAAGTAAAAGAATTAACCCCTGATGTAGCCTCAAGCCCACCTTGAACAACTCTG